AATGATGATGATATGAATGATAATGATGATGATATATGATAATGATGATGATAGTGAATGATAATGATGATGATAGTGAATGATAATGATGATGATAGTGAATGGTGATGATATGATGATAATGATGATGATAGTGAATGATAATGATGATTGATAGTGAATGATAATGATGATGAATGGGAATGATAATGATGATGATAGTGAATGATAATGATTGATGATAGTGAATGATAATGATGATGATAATGAATGATAATGGTGATGATAGTGAATGATAATGATGATGGATGGTGATAGTGGTTAATAATGATAATGATGATAGCGAATGATAATGATGGTGATGATGTGGGTAATTATGATGATGATGATGATAGTAGGTAATGACGATAATGATGATAATAGTGGGTGATAATGATAATGATGATGGTAGCGAGTAATAATGATGATGATGATAGTAAATGATAATGATGATAGCTAGTAATAATGATGATGATGATAGAGGATAATAATGATAACGAATGGTGATAGAAGAAAATGATGGTGATAATAAATGACAAAGAATGATAATGGTGCGAGTGGGTAATAATGATGATGATGGATGATGATAATGATAATGGATAATTATAGAAGGAAATAATGGTAATAATAGATGACAATGGATGATGATAATGATAATAGTAGGTAATAAAAATGATAATGAATGATTATAGAAGGTAATAATGGTGATAATAAATGATAATGGATGATGATAATAGATAATGATGGTAAAAATGAATGACGATAGAAATGATAAACATAAAGAAAGAACTGGCAACTCTAAAATAATCCGATAAGTAAAGTAAGTAAAGTGATGTTGAAAGCAGCAAATTTCAATCACAGTGATGAAATATGTTGTAAATACATAAAAAAAAAAAAAAAAATACAAAACAATAACTAAACACGAGAGGATTGGCGAATCGGAGTGTTACAGACTCGGGGGTGAGTTGCCAGTTACTCTTTCCTGAGACTGGACGTAGTGTAATTCCGCTAAAAATGTTAAAGCAAAGTTTTTCTTATTTATTAGTTTTCTTTCGCTTAAGGTAAAGGGTATAGCTATACTCTGCATAAACAAGGCCAACAACAACAAAAAAAAAATATGAAAATTACTAGCGATGTGTATGATTTTTAAGCCAAATTAAGAAAATTTTTTTTTTTTTTTTTTTCTTCGGATTCGGCTAAGATGAAAAAAAAAAACTTTTTATTTTCATTATCATTATTATTATTATTTTTACACCCTCCCATTTTCTCTTTGATTTAGCGTCTTACAGCGATATTTTGAACAATCAAATATGTTTTTTTTTTTTCTATCTAGAGACTTTAACAACTCTGACCTGGATCCTGGACAGAAGTTCTCTTCTGTCCTTTAACTTTGAATAGATTAAAAAAGAAAAAAAAAAAAAAAAAAAAGAAAAAAAAAAAAAAAAGGTGAACTCAAAAGCATCGGTCAAATTGAAATAAAAAAGCCACGTGTCTTCACTGAAATTGAAACCGTCTTTCCAAAAAAACAATAATCCTGGCTTAACTTTCGACTTTCATATAAAAATACAATATATATATATATATATATATAACAATATATCTATCTATCTATCTATCTATATCTATCTATCTATCTATCTATCTATCTATCTATCTATCTATCTATCTATCTATCTATCTATCTATCTATCTATCTATCTATCTATCTATCTATATGTATATGTATATCTGTCTCTCTCTCTCTCTCTCTCTCTCTCTCTCTCTCTCTCTCTCTCTCTCTCTCTCTCTCTCTCTCTCTCTCTCTCTCTCTCTCTCTCTCTCTCTATATATAATATATATATATATATATATATATATATATGTATATGTATATCATATATGTATATACACGTTGTTAAAGTGAACAGGAAAGATGGCATTGACACTTGAACTATTTCATTCATCTATTTATTTTTGTGCTGAACTCGAGAACGGTAAAATTACTTGGAAAGTGAAATGGCAATACATCAGACTTACTTTTTTACTATAAACTATTTCCAGTTTTTATTTATTCGTATCAATTTACTTGTTTATTTATTTTTCTAGTGAATGGGACTTCTATTATTTGTTGACACGATTTGTAAGGTTAGAGAGTGACGAGATCTCACGACATCATCAGTCATTACATTTATATAGTGAAACACTTTTTATGACGTTAGCAATTGTGCAGAGAAGAAATTGTATTTTTTTTTGTAGAATGACTATGTATATAGGCTTGTAGTTATATCAAGATTCGTTGAACGTAGAGAAAATGTTTGTAACCAGTTTCTCTGCACACACGCATACAAAAGCACATACATAAACAAACACACCCAAACACAAACCCACACTCATACAAACAAACACAAGCACACACAAACCCACACATTGATTAAGCAACAAAGACGACAGCCAGCTCCTGTTACCTAACATTTAACTCTTAAGTGACTGGAAATGGCACGAAGAATACCAGAAATATCACAAGGTTAAGTATTTATAAGTGGGTATTAGGAAACTTGTACAACATACGAAATGCAGTTGTGAATCATTTGTGAGAGTGTTTTCCACATGTAATTGATCCGTTTGTATGTACACACACACACACAGACACATATACATGTATGCACATACACACATATGTGTGTGTATATGTATATATACATACACATATCTATCTATCAATCTGTCTATATCTATCTATCTATATACATATATAATGTTTATGTATATGTGTGTATGTATATGCATATATGTATATATACATATATATGTATATATGTATATATATATATATATATATATATATATATATATATATATATATATATATATATATGTATGTATGTATGTATGTATATATATACACATTATATATATATATATATATATATATATATATATATATATATATATATATATATATATATATATATATTATATATATATATATATATATATATATATATATATATATATATATATATATATATATATATATATATATATATATATATATATATATATATATATATATATATATATATATATATATATATATATATATCGTATATAGATTTCTGCACATACACACACACAAACACATACACACACATACACCCTCCTTGGTTATTTTGATCAAATGATTATTGGCATTCTGATAGAAGCCCAAATACCCAAATCTCGTTAATTCCACATGATTTGTATACAATCACGTGGATTTTTGTAATTATTATCATCATCATTATCACAATCATCATCTGTATTGTTGTTATTATTATAATTTTGCTCTACCTTACTCCATATGCTACTGGTGCTCCTTCATAGTTTTCAAAATGTTTCTGTAACTTAATCATAACACAGAAGTTATAGTATTGTTAAAAAATACTTGTATACTTCCTGGAAGGTATAAGTTAATTTCATGTTCACAGCAATATTTGATGAATAAATGTCATACATACAGAACGATTTAGAAGCGACTACAGAATACTTTCATACTCTATAAGTTAGCATATATTTCCATACTTACAGGAAAGTGGAAGATAAATTCATACTTAGAGGAAGGTAGGAGACTATATTCTTCCATTCTGTTAAAACAAGATTTAGTCTAATGTCCATTGATTCTAGCTCAAAATTATTAATAATGAAAAATGTCCTAAATCTAAGAAGTTATGATAAAAAACAAGACTTCAGAAGTTAATCATTAATTATTTACTTATTTATTATCAAGTTATTTATTCATTTATTAAGTTATTTGCTTATTGTTTTAAGATAAGGAAGTTGATAGAAAACTAACCCATCCTGTAAAACAAAGAACTAAAGAGAACACATAAAATGGAAACAGTAAAACCTAACTAACCTAACAAGACAAACAACACCTTTCTTATGATGTTTGGAAAGTTAGGGGGGGGGGGGCAAACTCCGTAATACCATAACGCAATTAAACAAAAAATCAAAGCTATACCACATAAATACCATGGCACTCTTATGAAAGTCCATAATACCACAATACAAAAAAAAAAAAAAGAAAAAAAAAAAGAATTCAAGGTTGTACCCCATTGATACCATAATACTCTTAGGAATTCAAGTAATACCTCAATAGGTATTTTAATATTGAGGGAATAAGCTATGTGCCTTTATTACCTCGATAAATATGGCGTATGGTACACGTTATCTCTGATGGAACTGAAACTGGGCAGGAAAAAGTATTGACATCTTTTGTGGAAAAAAAAATTGTAGAAAAGAACATTAATATTTTTGTATTGGCTGATAGACTAAGAGCGAATTGAAAATCTGAAGAAACGGAACAAGAACAAGATTAATAACAATAACAAAAACACCTACATTAACAACAACACCCGCAAAGACAAACAAAGAGTTTTGAAATATAAGATTAATATGATTAATAGAACATCTGAAAGAAAGATAACACTTTATTGATGTGCCGAGGGAAAATGACTGTGCTGTATGGTATCAAAGTTCTAGGATACTGTATTGAAGATTTCTTGAAATACAAACACGCAGTATACACAATATGTCATATAAAAATGGTCATTCTCATATTAACTGGTGCAGTGTACGTGCCCATCCTAACAAAATAAACTGCATGAAAAATAGGAAACGATAATATTTTTGGTACCTTCTGTTTATAATCATTACACTGTTTTACCACACACAATAAATGCTATGATAATCAGATAAGTTACAATCATCTTTCATGACCTATTTTAAGACGCGTCAGCCAAAGAAGCACACAGCCGGATCAGCCGCAGTCATGTGTTCAGTCATCAAAACACTAAGTGCAGTCAGTAGAGAAGCGACCTGAGCGACTCGGTGCACTATACGACAAAAGTCATGAAAAAATCGATACATGAGCACCTTCCTGTTACTAGAGACAGTTATATTAGATGTATAGAGAAGTACATGCATTCGTATATGTTTGTCTTCATGTAACTGAATACCTCCAGGGGAAGCGGTGTCGTTCAAGAAGTACCAGGGGAAGGTGGTGCTGGTGCAGAACACGGCGTCGCTCTGAGGGACGACCACCAGGGACTTCCACCAGATGAACCAACTCAAGGAAGAGTTCGGCGACAAGCTGGAGGTCCTGGCCTTCCCCTGCAACCAGTTCGGGCACCAGGTGGGTCGTTCGTCCTTTTTCATGTTAATCTCTTTCTTTTCTTCCTGTTCCTTCTCCTCCTCCTGTCATTCGCCTTCCCCTGCAACCAGTTCGGGCACCAGGTGGGTCGTTCTTCCTTCTTTTCCTTATTATTCTCCTTCTTTTCCTCCTGTTCCTACTCCTCCTCCCCTCTCTTGTCATTCGCCTTCCCCTGCAACCAGTTCGGGCACCAGGTGGGTCGTTCTTCCTTCTTTTTCTTGTTATTCTCCTTCTTTTCCTCCTGTTCCTACTCCTCCTCCTCCTGTCATTTCGTCTTCCCCTGCAACCAATTCGGGCACCAGGTGGGTCGTTCGTCCTTCTTTTTCTTGCTATTCTCCTTCTTTTCCTCCTGTTCCTACTCCTCCTCCTCCTGTCATTTCGCTTTTCCCCTGCAACCAGTTCGGGCACCAGGTGGGTCGTTCGTCCTTCTTTTCCTCCTGTTCCTACTCCTCCTCCTCCTGTCATTTCGCCTTCTCCTGCAACCAGTTCGGGCATCAGGTGGGTCGCGTTTTAACGTTCTTCCTTCTTTTTCTTCTTTTCCTCCTCCTCCTCCTCCTTTTGCCACCTCACCTTCCCCTGCAAAAAGTTCGAGCACCAGGTGGGTCATTCTTCCTTCTTTTCTTGTTATTCTCCTTCTTTTCCTCCTCCTGTCATTTCGTCTTCCCCTGCAACCAGTTCGGGCACCAGGTGGGTCGTTCGTCCTTCTTTTTCTTGTTATTCTCCTTCTTTTCCTCCTGTTCCTACTCCTTCTCCTCCTTCTGCCATTTCGCCTTCCCAGCAACCAGTTCGGGCACCAGGTGGGTCGCGTCTTCTCCTTCTTTTCCTCCCCCTCCTCCTACTTCTGTCACCTCGTCTTCTCCTTCTCCTCCTCCTCCTCCTCCTCCTACTCCTCCTTCTGCCACCTCGCATTCCCCAGCAACCAGTTCGGGCACCAGATGAGTCATATCTTCTCGCTCTTCCTTCTTTTTCTTCTCCTCCTCCTCCTTCTACCTTTTCGCCTTCTTCTGCAACCAGTTCGGGCACCAGGTGAGGGGATTCTCCCATTTCTTCTTCCTCTCATTTTCTTTCGTCTTCCACTTCTTTTTTTCGATGCCAGCCACCAGTTCGAGCACCAGGTGGTTCATGTCTTCTCATTCTTCCTACCTCTTCTTCTTCTTTCCTTCTATTCGAAGCCCTCGTCTTCCCTTTCTCTTATATTTCTTCCTCCCCTTCTTCTCCTGTTTCTTCTACTACCTTCTACCAATACCTTGTTCGGGCACCAATTGGATGGTTCTCATATTTACTTCATCATCCTTATGTTATTATCATTACTCTACTTCTTCCTCTCCTTCTCCTCTTCCTCCTTCTTATACCTTCTCGCCAGTTCGGACACCAGGTTTTTTTTTCCTTATTTCCTCTTCTTCTAGTGGAGGAAGCTGGACAACTTCGAGGGGCATCCTCTCTTCCTCCTCTTTTCGTTCACACTATTATCACAAGTCCTCGTCTTCCCTTCCTACAAGTTTGGGCGCCAGGACATCTTTTAATCTTTCTGCTTCTCCTCCTCCCCCTTTTTCTTCTCCTTCTCCTCCTGCTCTTCCTCCTTCTCCGTCTCCTTCTCTTCCTCCTCCTCTTACTACTACTACTGATACCACTGATTATCATCATCTTTATCATAATCAATTTCATTATTATTACTGTTATCGTTATAATTATCATTATCATTATCATCCTCACCCTCACCATAATCACCATTATCCTTATTATAAATGTTATTATTTTTTTCAGGAAAATACAACAGACGCAGAGATGTTGGTAAGCCTGCGTCACGTCCGGCCTGGAAATTGCTTCGAACCAAAGATGGAGATTTTTTCAAAAGTCGAAGTTAACGGTTCTAACTGCCATCCTGTCTTCCAGGTAAAATTGGGTTAAACTTTTTTTTCGTGAAAGTGTGTGGTAACAGTAGCGAAAGAGCGATAGGAAGAGATGAGAGAAGAGGAAGAGGAAGAGAAGGAGGAATAATAAGACAGTGATGGTGATGATCATAAATAGATTTTGGTGTCTGTGTTATATTTCAAGAAGATAATATTTTTTTCCATTTTTTTAACATGATTTACATTATGGATGCTAGTGTTTTATTAACTGCACTTTTTCAAGATGCTAATAGACTTTTTTATTAATTAATGCCAGACTGTGAGCAGTACTGAAATTTGATTACTGTTTCAAATTCGGGAATTCAGTATGCATGTAAGAAATTCATATTTATTTAGTCTAAGTGATAAGTTTACAAACACATATCCACTCTCCCTCTGTCTGTCTGTCTGTCTCTGTCTCTC